GCACTAGCATCAGTTTGTATTTCCGTTTCTACTTTTGAATTATAAATATACAAAACAGGTTCAGATGACAAGATGCGTTTCGATGCATTAAAAGCGTGAAGTTCATTATTTTCGAATTTGAATTTAGAATCTTTCTTCAATAAATCATTAAATTTGGAATTAATGAATAATTAGTATGAATTTTCTGAAATAACCCGTTAAGACCTTAATAACGTCGATCATCTTTTACAAATTAAGCTCCAAAAAGTTAATTTCTGAAGGGAAACGTCTGAAGAAAAGATGAGAGATAATCCACCATTCTTCCCTGGGCATCGACCAAATCCAACTGACTAATTAGAAAGATGATAAATTTGAAGAAGAAAAAATGATGATGAAGAAAATTTGCAAGAAAGTAAAACCAGTTAAGTTTTTGCATGTGAACACAAAGCTTAATCTTAATAAAAAAATATTTCCTTAGGAACACAAAGTATTTTCTTATGAAACTCATGAATCTCGTTAGCTTGAGTAGCAAGGACAAGTCTCTGACAAAAATTAAATTTGGTCGCGAAGTTGTTGAGCTGAAAGAAATGGATACTAGCAAATTTGACTGACAGTTCTCCAACTGCTTTTCATACTTGATAATATGCGAGCTAAGGAGACAACGGTCTTTCTTTTTTCTGTCACACTCTGACTGAGTTTCACTTGATCGGCCGATAGAGTATTAATAACGGCTCATGTAGCATTCATAACAGCCAAATCGTTTCCTCCATTTAAGAGCGAGCACTCAGATTTGAAAAAAATCTAAGATAGAGTTCAAACTTTGTTCGACAGAATAGGTTCCATGGGACAATTCCATAGGGATTCCAAACAACAAAATCGGAATTTTAAAGTATCTTTTAATGCTATGTGAAAAAAAAAGAAAAAAAAAAAAAGATAAATAATCTTGTAGAGGCATTAGGAAGAAGTGAAAAATGAGCAGCGCCCTCACCGGGACTCGAACCACGGACTTCTCGAATACGCGCCGAGTGTGCTGACCACTACACCACGAAGGCATGCTAAGAAGGTGGGAGAAATACCTTATATACTCCCCCCTTTTAAAGGGCGACTGGGCATTAAGGGACCCAATCGCCAAATCCAGGTGGTGAAGAATCATCATTCACCATCTTTTGGTTCGGGCGCGACTGTAAAAACATTAAGCTAATTTGAAGCAGGAAGAAATACGAGCTGTGCCCTCTCTGGGTCTCGAACCACGGACCTCTCGAATACGTGCCGAGTGTGCTGACCGCTACACCGCGAAGGCATGCTAAGAAGGCGGGAGAAATACCTTATAAGGTAAGTAATTAAAATAATGTTTTTCTTTATTCTCTTACTACATTACGAAATAACAATAAAAGTACTATTGAATATAATAATGCCTTTTTTATACATTTTCCATGAAAAATGTATGCAACATTGATTTATTTTCAGTGCTTTAAAACACTTAATATTTTGCAAATTTTAAGGGTTCGGCAGAAAATTTTTATTTTTATAGGTTCCCTGAAACAATAAAACTTTCAGTACTTAATTTTCTACGGACTGAAAGGTCCAGACAAAATTTATAGCTGTATCGGTTCCTGAAACAAAAAAATTTGAAAACCACTGCCTTAAATTGTCATAAAATTTATCATAATTTTTTATATTTTTTTCTCTAACAGAGTAAATATTTCTTTTTCAAATAATAATTTTTTTTTTTTACATTTTTGTAACTTAGATCAGTATAAATGAACTTCATATTTTTCATTAGACGGCTAGGTCTACTAAAATGATGCTTTTGAACTTTTGTAGCAAAAAGAATAGGGTTTCTGTAATTTTAGCTTAAACTGGCCGCTTTAAATGACATTTAAAAGACCCAATATATTTACATGTTGATGTGACATATTTTAATAATGATTATTTTTGGGGTGAAATGATTTGAATGTAAACGTTCAATATTAACTCTTTATTGTATTACGAAGATGAAATATAACACACTATATAAGTGAACTCGAATATTTTATTACTGTATAATTTCAAGATGCAGAGAAACTTTGAGGTAAGGATGCAGCAAATAATATTTATTACATGTCAAGTTAAACACTGGGTAGCCTATCTGTCTCAAAATTTGAAATACTGAAAAGAAAACAAATTTTTAAAATAACAATCGGTATATAATTAGGATTAAAATATTTGAAACCTAGCTATATACATATCTGAAGGCAAGTTTCCATCAATATGGCAATCATTTCTCTATTGTTGTGATCAATTAAATAATGGTTTTTGAATATTCGCTCGTCTGTTTAATTTAATCTGAATTTCTTCTCAGAAAATGAAGAATTCGAACGTGTAATAATAATTTTGTGAAGAGGTAATGATTTATATAACAGCAGGTAAATGTAACGAGTATTTAATGATTCTTAATACTTAAATTTACTAGTTATTGCAATTAACTAAGGGAAACATGAGATCAGTAAGAAAATGAACTGGATTGTAATGGGATTATTTTGAAAGACGTAGACAAAAAATATTCTCGTTTTATTGCCTGTCACTGTCAGAACGAGAGGTACAGTTTTTAGTTTGAATCGTTAGGTAACAAGGGACATTATTACGTTTTTTTACAAGCCAAACGCTGCATTATCAGAATATCGGAAGCACCACGACATCACGAAAAACGTGATCTCTTCATTCCGTTTCCAACAGCATCAAAAGCAAATGTTTCTTGTGAAGTGTATATTGAGCTTCCAGAATTCGAAATAATACTCATAGAACAGCATTCAAACACTATCTAGCAACGTGCTAGAAATCTGGCAATGACGTCACATAAGAAGAGATGCAATCACAACACTCCTTTTCCAACAGCATTGAGAAGCAGTTGTTTTCTATAATATGCATGTTGAATTTTTGGAATTTGAGCTGGCACTCACAGAGTAATGGGGAGCAATGAGCAACTCACAGAGCAATGAGCACGCGCAGAGCATTACTTAGCAATCTGGCAATGACGCCACACAACAAGAGATGTATCCACATCACATTTTTTCCAACAGCATCAGAAGCAGCTGTTTTCTATAACGTGTATGTTGAATTTTCAGAATTTGAGATGGCACACGCAGAACAATGTGGTTAAGCTATCAGGTTCAGTGTTCCGCCTTACTTTCTTTGGGAACATGCAAAGACTCTGACTCGGAACAGGGAGCTTACTAAAGCTATGTTCAATAAATGTGGGAAGTAGACAAGATACACAGGAAGGGTATACGAAACCCTTTATTGTTCACTCTTTACAATAATTTCCGTACTTCGGAATACAGAGACCAACTACTTGTGGTCTGAACGTAAGAATATAAAAATATTTAACTAAACTCTAACTTAACTTTGGAAAATAATAAACAAGGGCCTACGTGGAAGATTGGCCGTATATTAACAGGAAGCCGTATGTAGTACAGAGAACTGTTAACACTACAATACGTTTAAAATTATCACGAGGATTAAACCTCTGGCCTGGAAGGCAACCAGCAACCGAGTAAAACTGCTAAGGTAAGCGGCCTGCTTCGACTAACTCCTTCCTCTCTCTTGCTTGGCAAAAAGCCACAACTTAAGTACTTGGCGTTCGCCAGACAAATTTGCATAAATAAGTTAAAGCTTTTAATTCTGGCCGGAAGTAGAAAATAAGAAGTGATAGTAAAGATTTAAAATAAAAATAAACGTTAGTAAAACTTAAGATCCTTACAAAGCATCACCTAGCAACGTGCGAGCAATCTGGCGGTGACGCCACACAGAAAGGGAGATGTAACGAAATCATTACTTTCCAACAGCATCAAAAGCAGCTGTTTTCTATAATGTGTATGTTGAATTTTCAGAATTTGAGATGGCACACGCGGAACAATGTGGTTGAGCATCACCTAGCAACGTGCTAGCAATCTGGCAGTGACGCCACACAGAAAGGAGATGTAACCAAATCATTACTTTCCAACAGCATCAAAAGCATCTGTTTTCTATAATGTGCATGTCTAATTTTCGGAATTTGAAATGGCACTCACATAGCAATGTGGTTAAGCAGTGCCTAGCAACGTATGGGTAATGTGGCAATGATGTCACACCACAAGGAACGTGAAAATATCATTCTTTTTCTAAGAGAATCAAGAGCGCTTCTTTCCTCTAATGTGCAAGATGAGTTTTCGGAATTCGAAACGGCACTAAGAGAGTAATATGATTAAGCAGTATCTAAGAACGTGGCAATATTGGAGTATTAGAAATATTCTCCTGACTTATCTTCACCCGATTTTTACTAATTCTGTTCTTGATATCAAACGTAAATATTAAGACTGATAAATTTATGCGAATCTTCTTAAAAAAGTATCACGAAATCTTTTCCAGAACTTTTACAATTGTTTAAGAAAGTTGAAAAAATGTACAGCTGTTGAAAGTAGGTATTGTAAACGAAGTATAGTGTAAGTGATTTTACTGTAAACAATTTTAAAATAAATACATTCCGAGAACTTTCTGATGAATTTTTTTATCTGGAGGATTTTTTTTTTTTTTTTTTTGTTTTGTTTTGGGAATGCCTGGTAATTACAAAATATCTTTTGGCTTTTGACGATTGTTTTGAAATGAATATCTTGCAGACATCAGCCAGAAAATATTTTCTAATATATTATTCATTTCAGTTGCTGAAACTTGGAGATTCAATGAGTTTAAAACAAATTTCCATATCAAAGAGTTTCAATATGAAAGTTGGTTTCTTTGCAAAAGGTAAAAGAAAACTATGAAAAAATATCTGTGAATTGAAACTAGTATCAAATCTGAATATTTTAAAATGCTTTAAATTATGCATAAACTGAATAAAAGGAATATTACTAGAAAAATGTGTGTAACATACTGGAAAATATTTACAGTTGGAGAGTTTTGTTTTCTGTTTGCCATTTTCTAGATTGCCTTATTAATGAAAATTCGAATACAGATAACTAAAGAAATTATAAATCAAAGTTCATAAAAATTTACACTAAGGAAAATATCAATAAACTATTTTATTAATTAAAGAAAAAGACATGGCTAATAACATAAAATTCCTTTTTTTAAAATTTATTTGAGTCAGCACCCTTTAATTATTAGCAGAGTCTATTAGTTTTGGTTTAACAGTACGTTTGACATTCAGTACGTTTTAATTTTTGTGTAAAATGCTTACTGTTATGCAGTAACATTTTCACTGCAAGTTGTAAAATTGCTACATTCCTCAAAGTGTCTTTGTCTTTATGATACAATTCCACAAATGTTATAAACTGTACACAGACATGAATTTTCGTATAGAAAAAGATCGTCTTTATAAATGTAAATAACAAAATAAAAAGCATGCATTTTTTATCTTTTTTTCTTTTTCAAAATACTGTCTTTCACCACAAGGCAGAATGATGCAAAGTGCAGGAACTCCCCAAATCCTCTTCATTTCCTTTCACATCGTACAAAAGAATTAAAGCTCGAAGGCTGCGAATCAGCTGTATCCCATGCTGTTAAGCCTTTAAAAAAATTTTTTTTTGGCAACAGTAGTTTGTACATTTTGAGATTATGCAATCATATGAATTAATGAAATTACATTTATTAAAAATGGGTTGCCCACTATCAATCTCAAATGGAAGAATCTGTACCTTGCAAACGATTTACAAATTATTTTATTTCATGGTGCTATAGCTCATGCACTTGCATATTTTAAAAAGCTGCAAGGACAAAATCAATGGAACTTTTTTTAATTTACCAAAAAATTTTGTTAAAATTGAATTTAAACTAATTTATTTTGAACTACATTCGCTTAAATTTAATATGCAGACAGTAAAGCAGAGATTTCTCCGCAATGGGTATTCTTAATGGATCTAAAACTGACGAACAATAGATAGGCATCTGAAAAATGACAAACACTGGCACTACTAAAAAAGAACTGTTAGCGTTAGCCAAAAATTCCTCAAATTCTCAGCAGCTCATAAATTTTTGAAATTCAAAAAGAGTCGGTTCTATATGGGAAAAGCTTTATACAGTGCAAAATGTAGTTTTCCATTTCTAACAGAATTGTACTGTAAGTAATAAATATAAACTTTCCCTAAGTTTTCTGGATTTTGCTTTCTTTTTGCACTTACATCATTATTTGATATTCTCTCTACTTTTAGAACGTTCCCACAAATTTGGGTTAGATTTTATCCCATCGTATATTATTGAAATTAAGAAGAAGCGTTTCTAACGCCTGGAAAAAAAATATCGCATTTTTTAAATTTAGAACTTTTAACATTACAGCTGAATGTATTTGTATCAAAATAAATAACGTATTTTTAAAAATTTGTTGCCATTTTTTTCTGTCTAATTTATGAAAAAGTATACCGAATCTTGTCATTATGAATAAATGTGAAAAACTACAGCCTCAATTTTTAGATTTCATTATGTCCTTCACTTTTATGTGACAAATGGCATAAACATTTTAATTCTAAAGATTGCCCATTCATTTATTTTCGTTACTTTTGGCGCCAGTTTTTTGCTTTAAAGTTGCATTTGATTTATTCCATATGTTTCCTCATAACTCCGTTATATAATCCATTATATAATCATTTAAACTCCGTTATATAATCATTTTTTCCGTTATATAATCCATTATTTGCTAATTTATCCAATAATCATGCTGCGATCTGTTTCCTAAACCAGCTTTATTAATGTGGTTGATCTGTAAAACGAATGCTAAACTACTTGTTAAGTGAATAGGAAGCAAACTGAAATCACCCTTTTCTTCGCCTATGTGAAAAACGTCTGTTTCTAGGCCCGTCAAAACCAATTAGTACGTGCGTTTTATGTATGTGATATTCGAATCTTTCAGTGTTGGAATCGTACGGATCTTGAACAAAGTTTGAAATTCGATAATTCAAATCTTCACACATTTCTAATGTTTCGAATCCTAACAAACATAACAACCAGAAAAAAAAAAAAAAAAAAAAAAAAAAAATTCAACTTTTTAACTCAAAACTTTTGAAAGATTAGTTTTCTTGATGTCAAGCGGAATTCATTCATTATAACATTCATTCATTAAACAACTTGTAAAGATTTATTTATTTTTATTAATCGGTTATTTTATATTAATTAGCTTTTCTGTCTTTCACACTTTCCGTTTTCCTGCGAGAATGCAAATTTTAATTCGCACAAATTCAAATGAGGTAGAAAGTGGTAGTCTTTAAAAAAAGGTTTTTAGAATTGTTGAATCACAGCATGTTCCTCCTGATGAAGGCCACGTCACTATTTGAATCTTTTGATAGCATTTTGTCTGTGGCGTTGTGTTATTTTTCCGATCAAGTTTGTCACGTCAGTATTAGGTTTAAGCCAACTTGAGCTATTCTGTCTGTGTAGGTAATTTACGACTTAACTTAGTTTAATTTAAATTAATTTCTTTTCAGTTACGCCATAAATGCTAGCTTGTTTTGAAAGCACAATACACGTTAATCTGCTGAGTTTAATAAAAGGATATTTTACATCCTTAATAAGTCTATGTTATAATTTCCAAGACATAGCGAATATTCGCTTACGTCTTCCAGAGTCTCAAGTCAGTTTATGCTTCCAAAGGAGGTGAGACTCTGTAAACTATCGCGATTATTGCAGTTTCTGCCACTTTGTATGATCAGCATTTCATTATGGCATTCAGTTTTACCTGAATATACAGTCTTAATTTTCTAGATGGAATTAAGGGATCTTTCTTCATGGTTCATCGTTGATAACTCATGAAATAATTATCTCCTCTTTGCATTTGCTTAGATATAAAAAGATTGTGAAAAATGTAAAAAATGAAGTTTTTAAAAATATTTTTTGTCAGATTATCTTGAGAAAATGAATCTCAAGATTCAAGAGTTTCAATTATGCATTTTATTTTTCAAATTCATTTGTATTAATAAATATCAGTGTATTTAAAAAATATTCTTAAATTTATTTTTCATGAAACGCAGATTTCAAATATTCTTTTAAGTAATAACTATTAATATTAATTTTTCTTCTTCTTACATGGATAATTTAAGATATTCCAGAAAATTTAAGATTCGTCCCATTTCTAATTTATTTGCTGATATCAGAAAACCTAGCCATATCAGATAAAAAATTGATACTCTGGTTACTACTTTGTTATTATTATTACTATGTTTTCGATAATTAAACAAATTATAGGATAAACAGAATTCGGTTATTAATTTAAACATTATGCTTGTATATGTATATTTTTACCTAACTATTTCTTACAGATTTAATTTGTATCTGATGAAATGTAACGTTCTGGATATCAAAGTTTACACAAATGCTTTCGAAAGAGTTTGATTTCTGCATGGCAAATGGAACATATGCCTTGGTCTTTTACTTTTAACTAACTTCCAGATGCCTTTCAGTATTTAAAATATGTAAAGTTTTATATAATTTTTTCAATTCGAGGTTTTAAAAATATAAATTAGAAGCAGAAATAAATTTTTAGTTCATAAAACGTACGTACTAATTAGGCTCAGAAGCTGATGATTCACTTAGACGAAGAAAAAGCTGATTACAATTTGCTTCCACTTAAAGGAGTAGTTTAGACACTTAAAGGAGTAGTTTAGACCAACACTTAAAGGAGTAGTTTAGAATTCTTTCTACAGTTCAACCACGTTAACCTTTAATCTTATTAAATTTCAAGTGCTGGGCCTTTGAAATTTCAAAAATACAGTATAAAAATAAATTCCAGTTCTTTTTTTTTCATTTGATATTATTAAAAGTATCTGTTTCTTTCAAAAGAAACAAAATCCTGGTCTAAAATGACCAAGATTTTGTACAGTGACGAGGATTCATATAAGTTTATATTTTATACAGTACGTAAGAGATCCAGAAAACAGTATTCACAAAAAATGGTGAAATATATTAGTTTGTGTGATAGTTTTGAACCAAAAATATGGAATTATGAGATTGTTTCACGAAACATTCTATACGAAATATGCCTTACGTGAAACTTAATTTGCACCAGTGACATTTCCTACATTGAAAACAATCACAGACGGAGATCAGCGCAATAGGTTTCGAGTCGGGCCTCCACGTTTGCAAATCTGGTCCTGTAACCAATCCCTTAACATAAACTGTTGGACTAACTGTGACAACATGGCTGCCCTCTGGTGAGTGCCAGAGAAGTACTTCAGTAAAAGCCAAGGCTCCCACTTCCATAGGTTGTACCAGACTGTTGCTCTGTAAGTTTTCTTAAAGTTAAATGTAATGTCCGTGTGTAACTTAAACCTGTTAATAAATATTTGTTACACTATACCGGACTCTTCTATGACCCTATGTAAAACGACCCCTTTAGAAAGTGACGCCCAACGTTTTGTAACCAATCCCTTAACATAAACTGTTGGACTAACTATGACAACAAGGCTGCCCTCTGGTGAGTAGCCAGAGAAGTACTTCAGTAAAAGCCAAGACTCCCACTTCATAGGTTGTACCAGACTGTTGCTCTGTAAGTTTTCTTAAAGTTAAATGTAATGTCCGTGTGTAACTTAAACCTGTTAATAAATATTTGTTATACTATACCGGACTCTTCTATGACCCTGTGTAAAACGACCCCTTTAGAAAGTGACGCCCAACGTTTTGTAACCAATCCCTTAACATAAACTGTTGGACTAACTATGACAACAAGGCTGCCCTCTGGTGAGTAGCCAGAGAAGTACTTCAGTAAAAGCCAAGGCTCCCACTTCATAGGTTGTGCCAGACTGTTGCTCTGTAAGTTTTCTTAAAGTTAAATGTAATGTCCGTGTGTAACTTAAACCTGTTAATAAATATTTGTTACACTATACCGGACTCTTCTATGACCCTATGTAAAACGACCCCTTTGCAGTCCTGTTTTTCTGCATAGATTTCCGCATATTACAATTTATTCACAGTATTTAATAAAGGCAGTGTGGGACTCTAAATATATCTCAGTATACAGACATTCACTTCCTTGTGTCTAATAGTGGGAAAATAATTTTTTTAAGAAAAAATTTTGGCATGCTCAGAGCCCTATAAAATTTGAAGAAGCAAGCGGTCAAGGCATGTTTTTTCATGCATGTATATTGCTTTATTTATGCCAGTGTGTATCATTTTTAAAATGCAATACATCCTGCATCCGGGTTTAGATTTTTAAATTTTTAATTTCTAATCACAGAAAACTCGTCATCGTAATTAATCAGATTTCAAGCTCCTACTGAATATATGCAGGCACTCCGGACTGCTTGCGTGTAGCTGAACTCACTTTGAAGGTTCATCCTTCATTTGGTTTGGGAGAGTTATTTCACTCGAAATAAACTTTGCTAAAACATGAACATTGATCATTTTTAGAATTCAAAAATATTAACAGCAAATAGTTTTATATGTGCACTATTTAAAAACCTATATTAAAAAATAATCCATACGTTTTAAGCAGATTAATATTTAAAATAGTATAGCAGTAAGTAATCTGTTCTCTTTCTTTCTTCTGTAACAATTAATACTTTTTCTATTCGAATCACATTTGCATTCCTGGGCAGTTTTATCCTCAAAATCATCTTTTCTCTTAATAAAGTGGGCAACCCTAGATGTGCAGAAAAGTAGTTCCCTTTAAGAATATGAGTGCTAACATTCTAATGATGTCGAATCTGTTGTGAAACTTTTGTCTTTGTTGTCATCGGGAGCATCTGACTGAGAACTGAGTGACGACTCCCCCCCGCCGAGGTTGATCAGTTTTTTACGAATCCGCCTTATAATCAACGGAGCTTCATCTCCTTGAAAGATATCGGCCCTCACAATCGAAGGCGAGGATAATGAGGCTTCACCACTATTGCTTTTATACAAATAAGGTGTTCGCAGAGAATTGTTCCGATCGTTGCTCAAGTTACGATCGATAGACGCACACCCAGAATCGCAATCGTCAGATTTGTTGCTTTTGTCGGGGAGAAAGACGTTTGATGCACTTCTGTTTCTGTCTGCACCCAATGGATCACACACTTTATTGTCATACAAGTTTGTGCTACTGGTGACATCATTGTGTAGTACGGGTAAGACGTGAACTTTGTAAGGATCTGTATTCATAGATGCAAAGACACATTTCCAGTCATCTAGTGGCTGCGTTTGAAGACGCACAGCTTCATCTCTTTGCTGATCTTTAGGCTGTTCCAGTTTCTTCGGATCAACTTCACATTTTGCCTGAGGCAAGGTCATCTTTTGGCAGCTTGAAGTCGCATTGGGTACACTTAAAGTAGATCCAAATGTGGATCGCAAAGGGATCGGACTAAGGTTTGCCACAGATACTTTGCTGTCGGTTTCATCCGGAGATGCTTGTCGGATGTTTACGTTTGTTGCAGCGACTGATGAAGTATTCACTAGAGGCGGAATTAACTTAAAACTTGGTGGTGCCGTTGCTAGATCTTGAGAATTAGTAAATATGCAATCTGTAGTATTTCTGCAGCTCTGTAAGTTCAGGGAAGCTCTTCGATATCCTGAAGAAATAAAATCGATAATTGTTTATTTAAGCAAAACATAATATAAAGGTAATTTTCAGTTAATAATGTATTTTTTAAATTACCATCTTTCAAGTTTAATTTATGTCTATACAAATGTGCTAAAGATTTTATCTGATTCTGCTTTTTTATTCGAGGCTCTTGATGAATAAGTTTGCCCTTTTATCCGTCCGAACTGTTTTTTTAACGCGCGAAGGCTTTATGAGAAAACAATCAGGGAATTTTGAAACCCATGCACAACGTTGAATTCGCAAAGTACGTGTTGATAATCAGAATTATAAATTTCTGTTTTGTAAAAATGATAATAGAGGTGATAAAATAATAATAAATATTAAGAATAGCTTTTTAAAAAAATTAGCTTTATAATATTATTTAAAAAACTTATAAATAATGAACTAAAAGAAGAAAAATAATTGTTTTATACAATTTGATAGGAACAATAGATTAAATAACTTCCTTTGCAGAGTTCATCTACAATTTTATATCACGATTATTGAAAGCGCGGGATGCCCTTGATAAGTTTATAAAGATAATTACTTATTCTTTTGAAAACGCAATTAAATGAATGCATTGCGTTATCTAGGCGCCGACGCTTTAATTATTCGCGACATAAATTTATAGATGAATTCTGCAAAGAGAATTATTTAATCTTTTGTCCCCGTTAAACAATGTGATAAATTACTTTTCTCTTTTTAATTCATTCATTATTGAAAGAGTTTTAAATAAAAGCTTATTTTTTATTTATTTTTATTTTTTATTATTTTTTTTTTTTTAACTTTTCCTTTAATATCTTTTTTAACCTTTTAGCTTGAATAACACTTTATCAATCAAGTTATTCAACTAAAAGTCGTTTTCAAACAATGAGTAATTATCCTTTTTCCTCCAACAATTCTGTTATGTGAAATATTATGTGAGCGATTTTGCCAAAAATACCTGAAGTTACGTTAAAAATCCCAGATGAACTTCACTTAAAAGATTTATTTTTTCACTCTATCCTTCGGTGTAAACATTGAGATTATCAAACTGTTAGTTTACTTATGAAACGGAGATACACACGAAAAATCGTTTCAACATTAAATTTTAAAACATCCGAATAAAAAGATTTGGAAACTATATTGCAGTATTGTCCACAGTGAGTGCATGTGTAGATTTTGACCCCCATATCTTGTCAGGAAATACTTTAAAAATCGACGGCAAAATTTTAACCGTATTTATAAACACAATGGTAGAGTTAAATAAAGGCTTAAAAAATGCCGCTAGTTAAAAAAATTTAGAAAATCTTATAATTAATATTATTTTACCATTCTTGTTTTAAAAGAGGGTGAGAAGTTTGTTTTGTAACCTTTTAATATTTCATATCGTTTTAACAGATACATTTTTGGGCGTTGGCATTTTAAAATGGTATAAAAGAATATAGTATTTTGAAGTATAATAAAATTTAAAAATGAACTTTTGAAAGAAAATGCCGGTTAAAATGCATATAGACATATGAAATGGAAAAATTAAAACAGTCACTGTAAATTTCATTGCAAATAATTATAAACTCTTAAATCAGACTTTAATTAAAAAAAATAAATCAAATTTTGAAAAACATATCACACTGCATCACATTGTATTGTCATCCACAAGTTTGTATACAAAATTTGAGCTCCATAGCTTATCAGGAACAGGTATAAGCGGGCGGGATTCCAACCTCCATTAGGATTACTCGTGTTCAGCAGTTTAACCGCTCGGCAGCTGGTAGGCGCCATTAGAACATGAAAATACCAATAATATCATTGGGAATATATCACTGTTCAATATCATTTTCCTAAAATGTTGCTTTACGTGAATGTTTATAATGTTTCTATTATTTTGTAAAAGAAATCTAGTAAATTTTAAAATTAAAGGCTATAAATAGGTTACTGAAAAATGATTTCAAAATGAGTATTTTGAATTTCTTACGCTTGTTATCTTGCATCTGGTCTCGATGCTGTGTTACGTGTAAATCGTTAGAAGCAATAATTCGAAACACTATCTTGGAAATCCATGTTATTGTTCTCAGGACATACTTCTAAATACTGGCTAAAAGCAACATATACAGTGGATGGACAAAAATATGGAAACACCTTGTGAAATGCATGTTTGAAAAGAAAGATTGATTTTAATGAAATATGTAGGTGGCGCTGGCGTTTTTGACTACTGACGACACCTATACAACTTCGTAAATGTGCTAAACAGTTCAGTTGTTGTCGGAGTACTGTTATGTGGGGTTGTCATTGCATTATGTCAGAGTTAACAGACTTCGAACGTGGGCAAATTGTTGGAGCACGTATGGTAGGTGCTTCCGTAAGCAAGGTAGCCGAGGTGTTGTGTTTCAAGAGGTACTGTATCGAAGATTTATTCCACATATTTGAAAAGCGGAAAAACATCATCTGCTAAATCACAGCGCGGACAAAAGTGTGTCCTGAGTGATCGTGACAGACGATCATTAAGGGGAATTGTGACGAAAAATTAGAAGACCACAGCTGCAAAAGTTACTGTTGAAATGAATATTGTGTTACCGAACCCTGTGAGTAGCAAAACAATTAGAAGGGAGCTTCATAAACAGGGAATTGCTGGCCGTGCTGCAATTGAGAAGCCACTCATCAGTCATGCTAATGCCCGTAACAGGAAAAGGTGGTGTTTAAGTCATAAAGCCTGTAGAGCAGTGGAAGCGAGTAATATGGTCTGACGAGTCTTCTTTCACATTGTTTCCCACTTCTGGCCGAGTTTACGTCTGGAAAACGCCATCTCAAGCCTATAATACAGACTGCTTGTTGCCAAGAGTGAAACATGGCGGGGGTTCTGTTATGGTTTGGGCAGCCATATCGTGGTTCTCTGCTAGCCCCATGATAACTGTGTCAGGGCACATGACTGCCAAGACTTATGTGAACATTTTGGCCGATCAAGTTCATCCCATGGTACAAACTTTGTTCCCCGATGGTGATGGTGTCTTCCAAGACGACAAAGCCCCTGCTCACACAGCTCACATTGTTCAGGACTGGTTTTCTGAGCACGAGGATGAGTTTTCCCATCTCCCCCTGGCCACCACAGTCACCAGATCTGAATATTATCGAACCTTTGTGGTCTACATTGGAACGGAAAGTGCGTTCTCGTTATCCACCGCCAACATCGTTATCTGAACTTGCCACCGTTTTGCAGGAAGAATGGTATAATATTCCCTTGGCAAACATACAGGAACTGTATTTATGCATTCCGAGAAGACTGCAAGCAGTTTTGGATGCCAACGGGTTTCCTACACCATATTAAGCAAAGAAACATGTTTTTTTAAAGGTGTTTCCATATTTTTGTCCAACCCCTGTATATGACCTGTGGTACTAATATACATGTTAATTTCACCCTCGATTGTACAGAAGGGACGTCTTTATAAAGGCAATTCATAAAAGTGCTGGCACTTTCACGAAAACCAGCCACTGTTCGAAAATTTAAAACCTTCACAAAGGTGCCAGGAAAAAAGTGCCTACGGACTTATGCGGATCATTTTCTAACTTAAAAAAAATCTTCTTCAAAGATGCTTTATGCAGATGGATTGCTATAAAAGCAGAATTTTCTTTTACTTCACTAATCTGAGTGTTAAATTGAAACGTATATATATAGCGGTGTCTCGGCATAATTATAAACATCAGTCCGGTCTTCAAATATATGAATTAAAAATAATGATGGATTAAGCAAAATTTATTGAAGTAACATCTCTTCTCTACATATAATAAAAGAAAGAGTCTGTCTGTGTGTGTGTGTCTTTCGTTCGCAGTGCGAGGAAGCTAATAGACCCACGGCTACGAAATTTCGTACATAGGTGCATCTATACAAAAGCCAGTGCACCTCGAAGCGATTTTTTCGAAATTCGAATTCGAATTTTTTTAATTTTATGTTTTGTGACGAAATCGCGTCATTTTGAAACATAATAGGCTATAGGAAAGCGAGATTTTACCCTACACACTCCATTTTCACATCGTCATGAAACGTAGGCACTTAGCTATTTTACGAACTTAAAAAAAAAAAATTCGTGTTTCAATAAATCGATTCAATACGAATTTATTTAACAAAGGGAGCTTAACACCTTTTCAACGGGATTTTTTCTAAAAAAGTTTATTTTTAAAAATGTACAGTTTATTTTTCTTTGATTTTTGGACACCTTAAACTTTCCATCCTTGCGACTGCTTTTACAAAAAGAACTTTGGAAAAATGATAATATTTTGTAATTTAAAAAAAAAAAAAAATTAAATGAAGCTTCCGAGTACACTTCTCACATCTCACATCTTTAAAAATGTGATTTTGGCAACAATAATCCTGTCTTATTGTTGTTGATAGATTTTTGATGAAATCGCATCATTTTGAATAGTTTCATTCTTATATAAAATAGGGGTTTGGCAACAATTTTTCATCGTATTTCTTATGTCACTGTTTTTAAGAGAGTGGCATATTTCATTGTCATTTTTATATTTATATAATACATTTTGTTGATTTTTTTTTTGATAAAGTTGTTCTGCAGAGTAAAATTCTGCGCGGAATTTTATGTTTTTTGAGTTGCTTTCATGCTATTTTTTGCTTATTTCACTGTTTGTAAGATATTGAAAAGTTTTGCATGATTTGTTTTCTTCAACGGAAAGTTGGTTAATTTTTTTATTAGGATAATTAATATTTGTATTAAGGGATATAGCTTATTTCATCGTAATTTTTTTCTCTTGAAACTATAAGATAAAATATCATTAATTATACTTTGCTTTTCAGAATTTTTTGTTTTTTGTATTCTTTTATGTCATTTATTGCTTATTCCACTGTTTTTAAGATATTGAAAAGTTTTGAGTGATTTTTCTAGGAAACGAAGTTCTTAATCTCCTTTATACCATTTGAGTTCTTAAGATTTTGCAAAGGGAAGTTGGTTAATTTATTTATTAAGATAATTAATATTTGTATCAAGGGATATTGCTTATTTCATTGTAATTTTGTTATACGTAATAACTTTTTTTTATGAAGTTGTTTTGCAGAGTAAAATTCTACGCAGTTTTTAAATTTAACGTTTGGCGTCCCCTTCAGCCATTTTCCGGTACATTTCCGGTTAAAAGCCAGTCGAAGGCTGTCAGCGAAGCTGCTAGTAGCAAAATAAAGATCGCAAGATCAGTAATACATCTTACCACTTCTAGCATATATTACAGGACAGGACAAGAATAAGCATACGAGACACCAGAACTTGGCCATATGATGATACTGTTAGAATAAATTGGTGTCACTTTTGCATAATAAAACTTGGCAACGTAAAAAAACAAACGAGCGCCAAACGATGTTTATTGGCAGGAGTTTATTTACGTTCAAATACAGAAGAAAAAGATTTTCTGCTAACGTTGTGTTTGTGCTTCATTCTTTTCAGCAATTCTTTTCTTCATTCTTTTTTTTTTGTTAACTTTGTTTGTTTGTTTTTTTGTTAACTGTTTTGTTTGTGTTTTATGGAATATACTCCTGATAATATTACCTAATAGGTAAGTCATAGCTATTTAAAGATTATAAATAAATCTCTTGTAAGTTCTATATTTCAACAACTCGATTTAAATGTTTGTAAAGACTATTAATTTGTATTCTGTTTGTGTTCTGAGCTAAGCAAATTCTCTAACTTGTTAAATAAAGATTACGTAGTTATTCTAACTTATGATTATTTAATAAAACTGTGCTGAATAGAGGATAATGTACTCAAACGTCTTAACTGTGTTAAATACATAACATATCAGATACAGGTATTGTCTCGTAATGCTACCGATGTAGCGAGGCATCCTACAGAAGCTCCGTGCAAACTTTCCGGAACATTTTCATGCAGTTGTTATTTAGAAGGATGTGCATACTAATATAGAGACTTCCGGAATTCGTAACAATTATTGCTTACAAATATCTTGAATTTGATCCAAAAGGCAATTGATAGTACTATAGATTTTGTGATGAAAGTTTGGATTATTTGTGATATATCTTCGAAACTCGAGTTCATTTGCAGTTGGTCTAATGCGATGATGTGTTCGTGTTAATCAGCATGAGAACAGATAGTAAGTGCTCTGGAGATCTCGCCGCAAACAAACTTGTCTGAGGAACAGCTATTTCTTTCGAAGTAGTAAATGGGGAAGGGTCCATGTCCATATATGAATTGATTTAAACGAGGGTTACTGAGACACATTTTCCCGTTTATTATGTTGATTAGATCATGTGGTATCTGCTTTGCTAAAGAGAGTTCCATTTTTTCTGCCAGATTTGATTTATTTTTTGTGTGGGTACAAAGTTATCCAAATGTTTCAGTCAACAGTTTTTAGTCATCAATTGGTCAATGAGCAATTTTGTTCCTTTTGACATCATAAAGTATAGTATTTCTTTCTTAAGAGCCTACTGAAATGCTGTTTTATAAATGTTTCTGCCATTTAACTGTTTTATTAAGTATTATTCGTTTGAAAAAAATGAATTGCCATTAAACATGATAACATGAAAAATTTGCATTTTTCATCTTTATTGGCTCAGTCGCAGATAAGAATGCAGTAGACTCATTTTTATCTGGGACTGTCTTTATTGCAACGGAAAACTTATTTTGAAGTTCACATGTCGTGAGATGGCACAAATGTGCCATTTTGCGACATTATTTTGCGCGGTTTCTTAAAAAATTCCTTAAAAGTTTCTTAAAAAAACATTTCTATACAAAGCAAGGAAAACTTCGTACCTTTTTCCTCAGCACTGTTGAATGGGAAAACAAAATTCGGGGGAAGTGATGCCATTTTTACAAGCGGTTTATGTGGCACGTGCTTAGAATGGGGGGATTTCCGTTCCTTCACTTTCTCTGTCAGTTCCTAAGGAAAAACATCCCAAACGTGAATATCTAAACACTAAATTAATAAATTTTATTAAATCAAATATCTGAAGGTTTATTTATGCTAAAGCGAACATTTAAATATGATCAGTATTAAATGCTTTCTTAATGAATATACAGAGTACAATCATAGAAAAAAAATATAATAATAATGTACACTGGTTATCATTAATTAAAGAAAAACTACAAAAATGGCGATTACTCTAAAAATTACACCTTGGAAGTTAAAGAAATTGATTTGGTGGCAACAATTTGAAAAGTGATACAGCCTTTTAAAGTTTTCAATACAAAATGCCAAAACCAAATTAATAGCATTTTTGGGCCAACGCCCTTTGGGCTAATAATATCACGAATAATATAAACGACATAAATTGGCAATCAGGAATTATTTGCTTTGCGGCAGGAAAGGAGTTAATCCATCCGCTTGTTTTTGTAGTTTGCATTGATACTGTTACGAATTTGGTATTTAAAAAGCTAATGTTAGTTCAATTATAAATTAAATGGTTTTATTTCTCGCGCAGTGCAGCGCGTGACGAATATTAAAAGAATGCTAAGCCGGAAAAATTAAAAATACAAGAGCGCGTGCGTTAAATAAATAAATATCTCTTTTTGATTTCGAGAAAGTACTGGAAAATTCTAGCGCGTGATTTTAAAATCTTATAAAAGGAGGAAAACATCTCAGTTTGTAGTAGTTGCTTAGTTTGTTGTTTTTAGAAAACTACTGTTGTTGATTGTAGCGAATTCGCGGATTAGCGTTCTTTAGCTGTTTTGAATTACGTTCTATTGGACATTTGAGTAGTTAAAAGATAACTACTGTGAGATATTGTAATACTGCATGATAATTTGAGAAAATTTAAGCATTTTTGTTGTGATAATAATAAATTTTTGTTCATTTTTCATCGGACTTGTGCATTCATTTCATAACGAACCCGTACGCACGCAACAATTTTTGGTGTCAGAAGTGGGGTTTGAATGCCAATAACAAGAGCGATGGAAGAACAATTCAGGCAAATGATGACTGCATTTGCTGCTTTCCAAGAAAAGATGGAAGGGGCCGTCAACTCCGTTAAGGAAGAAATGAAAGAAAATTGGGCCAGGAATCCGTTAAGGAAGAAATGAAATTGGGCCAGGAATCCGTTAAGGAAGATATGAAATTGGGCCAAGATTCCGTTAAAGGAGAGATGAGATCCGTTAAAAAGGAAATGGAAGCCGTTCACGAAAAGTTGGAAGCTGGTCAAGTAACTTTTAAAGAAGACATAAAAGCTGTACAAGAAAAGATTGAAGCAGGTCAAGACGAAATGAAAAGAGAAATAACCTGCGTAATAGAAAATAAATTTGAGGCTATGGAAGACAGAATAGGAGCTGTCGAAAATAAAGTCGGGCAAATTGAAGAAAAGGTTTCTTCTGTCAAAGATGAAATAGAAGATAGAGTGTCGGCTGTGGAGCAACGAGTCGAAGGAAGAGTTTCGGCCTTCCAACAACAAATTGAAGAAAGAGTTTCTGCCGTCGAACAACAAATTGATGATAGGGTTTCTGCTGCCGTCGCCAAAGAAGTTGACAGCCTAAAGAAGTGCATAGCGACGGTAGGAAACAATTCTGAAGGTTTCAAATTTTTATCGATGCCTGCTCGTTCCGTTCTGAAACTATCTACATATGATGGGAAGACCTCCTGGCAGGTGTATAGGACACAATTTTCTATCGTTGCGGATGCGAATGGATGGGATTCCCAAGCTAAGGCCTGTCATCTCGCCGCTTCTCTGAGAGCAGACGCAGCGGATATCCTGCAGACGCTTCCCGAAAATCAAAGGCTAGATTTCGAAGCTCTATCCGGCGCTTTGGAGCTGCGCTTCGGCGAGAAATGTTTAAAAGACTACAGCAGGCTCCAATTAAAATCTCGTCAACAGAAGCCTACCGAAACACTTCAGGAGCTCGCCACGGATGTTGAAAGGCTGTCCCATCTCGCCTTTTCGGAATGCCCGACAGAAACAAGGGAAATCCTGTCCTTGCAATATTTCATCGATGGCATCCGGGATCCCTGAAATACAGAAAGCTCTTCGAATGGCAGATGTTAAAGGATCTGAAAAGCGCTCTGTTGTACGCCATGAAATTGGAGGCAGCCCAGCAAGCAATTCTTAGAGATCGCTACCCAGTCAGAGCTGTGCGAGTCCATGACCCAGGGGACAACTGATGGCTCGTTTAGATGATTTATCCAGACAAGTCGAAGCTTTGATACGGAGTAGCAGTGAGTGAGAACAAAGTGGCTGTAAGGTGTGTGGGAGATGTGGTTCTGAAGGTCACCTAAGACGGCAATTGCAGAACACCCCAGGGCACGGATAATAAAACGGATGAGTTTTACAAGACCAGTGAATGCTTTAAGACGGAATAGAATGGTGAAACGAAACCGACCCTAAAGTGCTGGAATTGCGGTGTTGAAGGCCACCTACGAAGGAAACTGCAGAACTCCCCAGAGCACGGAAAATAAGACATTTACGCATTTAAACGCAAAACAAATTAGTGACCATATCAAGGAACGAAGGTTGCCAGATAATGAAAAACCCTGTTTTAAAGCGCTTAAGATCTCTATAGTGAGTGGCAACAATAACGGACTGTCCATCAATGGGAATATCGATGGAGTTCCTTGCAATATGATCATTGACACAGGAGCTAATGTTACCATCATTAGGAAAGATTTAGCTGAACAGTTTTAAAGATAAACTTATTTGGACGCCATCCTGTGTTACCCTTCAGACTGCGTCTGGTGACAAGATCGACATAACTGGGAAGTTAAACGTGAACATCACGTTTGGAAGTGCCGCCTACCATCACACGGCATATGTGGCGGATATCACAGATCCATGCATACTCGGATTGGACTTTTTAAGGAAATACAATTTTTCCTTAGACTTGAAAAACAACAAACTGCTTTCAGCATCTGATGGCATGACTATCCATCCTCAAAAGGGATCCTCACCTGGAAATGCCGACGCCTTGTCCGAAAGACCCAGCTCAGGAAGCTGCCGAAATCATACTAAAGGGTCGAAAAAGAAACGCAAGACTACCAGCTATTCTCCATCCCAGATGCTCTTCGGTCGAGACCTTCGTCTGCCTTGTGACCGCCTGTTTGATCGCCGTACGGATGCGCCTTCATCGCCTGAGGAACACATCCAAGATGTCCCAGGCCCGTTTTGAAGTGATGCACCGTTTCGCACACGAAAGCGAGTGAACTTGGCGACGGAGAAAGTGAAGACCAGATACGACACAAGAGCTACTGAACATAGATTCCAACAAGGACAAAGGTGTGGTTGTGGAACCCGATTCGAACGAAAGGACTTTGTCCTGAAATTACAGTCACCTTCGGATGGTCCATATACAGTCCTGAGAGACTGAATGACGTCATGATCCGTAAGTGTTCGAACTCGAACTAAACCTAAAGTCGTTCATTACGACAGGTTAGCTCATTACTATGGCCATAGTACATAATGTAAATAATTGTAAATAGTATCAGACCATGGTCCTTTTGTTTTTAAATGTGTATTTGATTTGTATTTGATTTAGCATTTGATTTGTTTTATGTATTGCATTTATTGTTTCATGTTGTTTATTATTGTAATGTAATGCTTATTAATGCATTTATGCCACAGTTGTAAGTTTAGCTTCCTGTCCAGGGATTGTACTGCCCGGGACGTGCAGTCCTTGGGAAGGGGGCAGTGTTACGAATTTGGTATTTAAAAAGCTAATGTTAGTTCAATTATAAATTAAATGGTTTTATTTCTCGCGCAGTGCAGCGCGTGACGAATATTAAAAGAAAGCTAAGCCGGAAAAATTAAAAAAAATACAAAAGAGCGCGTGCGTTAAATAAATAAATATCTCTTTTTGATTTCGAGAAAGTACTGGAAAATTCTAGCGCGTGATTTTAAAATCTTATAAAAAGGAGGAAAACATCTCAGTTTGTAGTAGTTGCTTAGTTTGTTGTTTTTTAGAAAACTACTGTTGTTGATTGTAGCGAATTCGCGGATTAGCGTTCCTTAGCTGTTTTGAATTACGTTCTATTGGACATTTGAGTAGTTAAAAGATAACTACTGTGAGATATTGTAATACTGCTTGATAATTTGAGAAAATTTAAGCATTTTTGTTGTGATAATAATAAATTTTTGTTCATTTTTCATCGGACTTGTGCATTCATTTCATAACGAACCCGTACGCACGCAACAATACTATTTATTCTTGACTCTTTAAGAATGAGGATTAATTAATTTTGTAAAAACGTTTTGTGTGTATATTTACGTGAATTTTTATTTATTTATTTATTTATTTTGACTCTTTGAGAAAGGGAATCAATAAATTTTGTAAAACAGTTTTGTGCATATATTTATTTAAATTAAAATTTTAAGTTTAGTTTTTATTCACTCAGATAGTCAAGAAGAATGAAACGTGTGTTCAGATCTGTTTAATTGTTCCTGTTTAATGTTTTAAGTAATTACTCCCTGATGAATCTATTTGAAGCATTAAATAAAATAATTAATTTGCAGATTATCATAAATGCTTTTTACATTTTTTATTCCTTATTTTAAAGACTTTTTGGCTATGTTTAAATTGCTTAATTTTCCTGATTGTTTTCTAATCTGTATTTTCCGTTGCCACAGTTTTCTAGTAAAAATAATCTGTTATGTAATATTAAATTTTTCAATCATAAGCTGCTTAAGAACGTAATTTTATTACTTCAAGTCCTTAGTTTAATTTAATTTTTTTTTTAATCTTACACATATGTATATGCAGTAATAAAATTTTAGTATTTTATTGACGCATGAGATGAACGTAAATGACTGTCAGGTGCTTTTTTCCTTACGACTGTTTCGTTTATTAATTATCAAATCGTCATTATTTTTTGCACGGTTCGCTGAATAGAGCATATTTAAGCAATACACAACCGCAGGGATGAATGCTGCCATTGTTTCCAATTAGAAGTTTACTTTTCCCACATATAAACCTGGCGAAACAACAAGTAATATAAAAAGAAATAAATTCCTACCTAGGTGAAAAAAGAAAATTTTTATTTTAGTTACTTTTTATTAACATTATTAACATTTTATCGTTTCTAATTTATAAAGCTGATAGTGGTTTATAATTTCCAATTTTATCCATCTTTTGTAATGCTTCATTATTTTCAAGGAACCTTTCCAGTGAGTTTCGAGCAGTCCAGTTCTTCAATTAATATTCCATTTAATTATTTCACACGACACAAGGCGACATATGCTTGACCTGCTGTTTTTCTTTCTCTAATCGTTGCTTGCGTTGTGTTGTAGTTTCTTTTCGCATTCTCCGTTTGTGAAGTAAGGGACATTTTAAAAGGTTATATTTTAAACATATATTATTATCACGTTAACGCGGAAATATGGGGAGAATTTTCGCTACATAATGGGACATTACATCCACTTCATCCAACTCTATTAAATCTACTTCGCCGACAGCGCATAAACCACAATAGAATAAATGCATTCTTAAAAATTCACTCTAGTATTTGTTTACCATAGCGACACTCTGGCGCTAGATTCACTTAACAGTATTATATTTCGTTCATATTATAACTCATAATGCACAAATTTTATCATTTTAAAGAATAGAATTATCTAATCGTTGCCACATGTTTCTATTCAAATACTATAATAAAGCTAAAATGATGTATAAAAGAAATTAAGCAAACAAAACAAAAAAGAAACAGTTTTTCACAGACGATTGAGTATTTCTCATTCATTTAATTTAGTTCTCACTTCGCGAAAAGGCAAAAATATATAAAAACTCAAAATATCTATATTAAAAATTACGAAGTAAATCTTAAACACTTATGTCCTCGAAAAAATTCCAGAAAGAATTAAGCATGATTTAATTCGCAATAATAAATGAAGACGTTATCTTTGTTGTTGCGAAGCTAAGTTTCTCTAGATTGGCAACAAATCCGCTATCCTGCTGTTTCAAATGTAAACAAGAGCAAATGGCCCGCCATCAAAAACATTATTAGGCTTAGCGGCACTTAAACAATTTTAAAATTGTTGATAATTCTAAAAAATATTGCATAAAGATTACTAAAGGCATAAAAACCCTTAACCGGAAGATAAAAAAACAACATAATTCATCATTTTTAAAGCAAAAAAATGTACAATTTACAAACATATAAGAGTAAAGCAACTGAGATCACTGAGCCGGGTAATAGAGTGAGTGGATATATATATATATATATAAAATATTTATATACGTTTGGTGCGGCCGATTGCAACCAAAATACGAGGTGCACATCTACATGTTATAGCAGTCCTATATACAAAATTTCAACGTTCGGAGGTTACTCGTTTTTGAGTTATGCGAGATACGTACGTACGTACGTACATACGTTCGTACAGAAGCCACGAAAAATTCTCTTCAGAATTCATTTTAAATCAGTTTTATAATTTTTTATGGAGGAAAAGAGTCTTTTATTCTGTCCTTACGTAGAGATATGACGCAAAAACATCGTTAAAATGCATTCGATAGCGGTCAAAATGGATATTTTCGTTGAAATATGCTGCCTGAAACTTTTCGCGATTGCAATACTTCCTTTTTTACTTCGTACAAGGAAGTAAAAAAGAGAAGCTGCAAACAACATTATTCACGAAGAAAAAGAAATAGTTATAAGAGTAAAGATTATACTATTGGTATTAGATTAAGACTACGGAAATTATTGTATTGTTTTGGTTAATTAAATGCTTTGTTGTGAATACTATTCTATGTAACTGCGTAAAAGACTTTTGCCTTAATATTAAATCCATGCTTTATGAAAGTTATATAAAATTTATATGATAAGTATAAATTTTGAAATGCCGCTGTTTGAAGGATTTATTTTAAGCATATTTCTATTTTTAGATAGAAAGCGAAATGATCATTTAAAAAAAAGTCTTAAGGGGTTATTACTATTAGCCTTACATATGTACTACACGTATATACTAGCTTATGATATGTAATATTTATAAATGTTTTGTCGCTGTCATTAATAAAACCGAGAAAGTTAGAGAATGGAAAAGAAATAATATTGTTACGAAGTGTAAAGGCGAGGTGAGATGGTTTCCCCGCAAAGCAGTTTTAGGGTTGCCATAAAATGGCAAGGGAAGGCAGGGTTGCCACATTTGGCGAGAAATCGCTCATTTGGCGACAAACTTCGCGATATACCATGGACGGTTGGAGAACCTTCTGGGAACGAATTCTTACCAGTTTAGACCAGAATGTTCCCGAACACAAGCCGAAAGGTATATAAACCGTGCTGGTCTGCAGTCAGCAAGTGTGTCGCTCATCGAGAGTGCGTCTCAGAAAGTGTGCTTCATCGAGAGGAAGTGTGCGTCTCTTATCGAGTGAGTGTGTCTCGTCTAGCGAGTCTTTACCTGCGGAGGCGATCGAGTTGACAGCCGGGCAGCGAGTGCCGAGTGGGTCGTCGAGTGCACCGAAAGAGTCTTGTAGAGTATTGCGGTTAGTGCATCGTCGAGAGAGCGTGTTGAGCTCCGGAAACGACTGAACCGAGATTCGGGAGCGTGCTCTGTGTGTCGTCGAGTGTATCGCGAGTTGTAGCGTGGTGTGGTGTATTCAGTTATGGCAAAAAGCACACTAGGGCTATCTGCCTAAGGGGAGGGATGCCTTTCGTGGAGGACTTTCTAAGGGAAACTGGCTCGTATACACGTTACACATGGGGAAAACCACGAAAACGCCCATGCAGCCAGCCCGTTCGCGGGATTCGAACCTCGGACCGAACTACCAGTGTTCAGCGACTTTACCGCTCGGCCACTGGTGGGCTCTGTTGTAGGGTGGAGAGTCTCGGGAGTACGTGGAGTTCCGAGAGCGACCACACAGAGTCGGAAGCTGTACTGTGGTGCTTTGCAGTGAAGCTGTCTCCACCGTTATTGCCTGACAGCGTGAAGGCTGTGTCGCTGATTGTTCCAGAGTGTTTATTGTAGATGTTCGACGACTGTAAAAGTGACTTTGGAGCTGTCCTGATTAATATTGGCTAAGAAAGTGTGTTTCGATACTTCATCAAGTAGCGTCGTGATTATTCACTCCAAATCCATACGAACCCCGTACGAACGTAAAGGAAGAAAATAAAGCAACAACTGGTGTCAGAAGAATAGAAAAAGGAAAATCCTAACAATTGGTGTCAGAATAATCAGAAGAATTAAAGGAAAAACGTAACAATATTATAAATAAAAAAGTTCTTTGTATTTACAACAGCAGGCTTGGTTTGCTGCTCCATTTCGGCTTCCTTGATTTGCTGCTGCTCTGCCAATAGTTCACGCTTTAGCTCTGCCTCCATCTCCAGGTCGTCATCCATTTGTTTGTGGCTTTCTTCCAGATGTTTCATGAGTACGGCGACGACAACATTGACGAGCACAAACTGGGCCATTAACACAAAGATTACGAAATATAGAGGAGCGATGATGGGGGAAATGCAACAGTTTTTAATGCAGTCGCTGGAATAATCGCAATTGTCTCGGAGTGTATCCTGCAAGGAGTAGAAAGAAATACAAGGAGTCAAATATGAGTTCTTAAAATTTGAGGTCGATGAAAATCAAATATCACACCTCGGGAACAGTTCGTGAATATTAATAGTGTACATAAAGATTAATTTTAATAATGATCAGATAAGATAAGAAAGCCCAGGGGCGTAGCTAGAGGGGGCGAAGGGGGGCATCTGTCCCCGGGCGCAGAATCCAAGAGGCGCCAAACTGATGTTACGGCATTTTAGAATTAAATGTTTTCCATCCTTGGCAAGCAGTAGGGGGCGCGAAATCTTCAGTTGTCCCTGGGCGCTGAAAACCCTAGCTGAGACTCTTGAGAAAGCCTGGACAGAAAATAAGCTAGTGGCGCCATCTGTTGATGAAACCAGAACTAAAACATAATTTCTTTAAAGGCCGAAGGCAAAGTTCTGGTTTCATCAACAGATGGCGCCACTAGCTGTTTTTCTGTCCAGACTTTCTTATCTTATCTGATCATTATATCCTATATGGTTCATTTGCGCTTTTGCAGCTGACGATGGTGGTTCGGTAAAACCATCGAAACTAGTCCTGTGAAAATTTGAAAATATAATGCTGATTTTTGTTGCTTGACTTCTGAATTAGTATATGTTCGGCGTGTTATTGTGTCTTAATTATCAGTTACCTTAGTGTTTGCCCTTCTTAGAATTTCTATTTTCGTCAACTTCCACCAGAATACAAATTAGTTTGAAATACAAATATGCTTCTAATTTCAAAATTTATCTAACGACGCTTACCGACGTAGGCAAGTCGTTAATCTACTCTAGATTCATGCTGTTGCAATTAGCTTGAAGGAAACCTTTTGTTTCCTGCAATTTTTTTCGCAAGAGCTTAGCCAGGTGGGGCCAAGGTTAGGATTATGCTACGCTTATACTGTATACCATGGTGGCATTACTTCGTATTATATTATTCTACCCCCAAGTTAGAGAAATTTTGTTCCTGTTAATTATGTGATTTGCGTAACCGTCAGGTAGACGCATTAATAAATACTTTTACTTCAATTTTACTTTATTCGTGTTACTTCTAGTTGAGGAGTCAGACGGGAGGAAAATTCATCCGACCGTCTTTGGCAGATACTAAGATCTGAGTTGGACTTTAGAAATGATAGCATAATTTTATAAATGGTATAAAGAGGATGCTAAGGTTTCTAAAGCTTTGACCTGCTTTATATTGCAGAATGTCAGTTGTTATCGCATATTGATTACTAGCTACTTTTTGTGAGGATTTATCTGCTTCTTCATTTTCAAGTGTTGCGGCATGCGCTTTAAGCCATTCAATTATTATTTTAGCGTTAGGGTGTTCTGTGGAGATGTTGATCAAATCTCTGAATATTGGAGATTTATGCGTTTTATCTGCTATTGCATTTATACCAGATAGAAAATCTTTTCTAATTTTTACTGCTGGCGGGTTGTTGTTAATGCAATATTCAGAGTATATTGACTTTTATATACTTCAGTGTATATTGGCTTCTTTAATAACTAGTGTTTCTGCTTGGAATACTGTATTTTCATCTTTTCGATGATATTTCTGTATTGTAGGATTTTGATTCCTTTGATAGATAATTATTGCGCATTCGACTCTTCTTTCGTGTTTGGAGACATTTGTGAAAATTTCTGGTAAGAACCTTTTTTCGGTATTTTCCTATAGACGAAATCTTAAGCAGATGTTTAGTTTTTGGATCGATGGATTTCATATACACTCTTAAACAAAAGAAAAAAAAAAAAAAAAAAAAAAACGCGCCACCATGCACCAAGAAGATATAAAGCAAATTGGACACAAATTGATAAGCATACAAGTTTCGAGGGAAAATGCAAAATTTTACATTTTGGCTGCCAATGAACGAACGGTTGTCGCTACAACGCATCTGATCTGCACAACTGCAGGATATTTAAGAGGAGAAATTACAATTCCAGGTCATAAATTCTTCACGAATTTCATTCCGTGTACTCTGGTAGACAGTAACTATGCCTCGCATACAGGTGCGCGAACGATATGCGCAGATGTCAGAATTTGAGAGAGGTCGAGTAGTTGAGTTAAAAGAAGCCGGTTGGTCTTATCGGCGAATAGCTCGACATTTGAGCAGGAGCGATGCCACTATTAGACAATGTTGGCAGGAATGTTGTGTGAACCATGGCCGCACACTGCGTTAAGAAGGAAGCGGTAGGCCTAGAGAAACGACAGAACGTGAAGACCGAGCAATCGTCAGAGAGTGGCACTCACAGCCCCAGATGCATCATTATCATCGATTATACGTGCAACTAGTGCTTCAGTGACCGCAAGAACCATTCATAGACGGAACTACCATTGAGCTCTGTACAGCGTCAAGCCCGTTTGCAGTGATGTCGGGTTCATTCGCACTAGAGTGCCACTGAATGGAGTGGAATAGTCTTCAGTGATGAGTCCCGCTTTGAAATGAGTCCCGATGACCAGCGAAGGAGATTCTGGAGACGCCCCGGACAGCGGTGTGATACCAACCTGACTGTCTTCCGGCAGACAGGCCGACAACCAGTAGTAATGGTCTGGGGTGCCATTTCATTTCATTGTAGGACCCCTTTCGTTGTCATCCGTCGCAACCTTACAGCACAGCGGTACGTCGACGAAGTTCTAAGGCCTGTTGTGTTGCCCTTCATAGCACGCCACCCTGGGCTTACATTTCAGCAAGATAAAGCCCGCCCCGACACTGCACATGTTTCTACTGCTTGCCTTAGTGCTTGCCGAACATTACCTTGCCGGATCTCTGTTTGGAGCATTATGGGCAGGGCACTCCGAGGTCGGAATGCTGACGATCTAACAGAGCTTTGAACGATATCCCTCAGGAGGACATCCACAACCACTATCAATCGATGCCAAGCTGAATAACTGCTTGCATAAGGGCCAGAGGTGGACAAACGAGTTACTGACCTTTTTCACTTTGTGAATCTCTACCACTTCAATAAATCATCCAATTTTTCTCAAATGGTAATCATTTGTTTTTCTGTAAATGTGCATCACTTCTACCCACTTTCATCCCATTCGGATAACTCCTTCTTGGTGCGTCGTTTTTTTGTCTAAGAGTGTAGATGTTTCGGTTCTTTATATTCAAAATATATTTGTGTCCTTTCAATCGCGGAATCTTTCCTAAGGTATTACACTGTATTTCGTTGCTTTCTTTTCTACTGTAAAGAATAATGGTGTCTACTGTAATGAATACTGTGAGGACATGCAGAGTTGCGTTTGATGTTGCTCTGTAACACCTGGATATTGCTAAAAGGAATGGCCGTTGGATAATCGGCAACTATGTCGCTTTTCTTGCATTGAGTGGATGAGCCCAGATTGCGTTTCCGTACAAAGCAATATTTTTAAATTATTGTTTTGAACATATGCGTTTTTGCATGTGCGGTCTCATTCAATATTGTAAATACAAGATCCAACTCAACTTCTGGTCTATGCTAATTCCCAAGAATTTAACCTGTTTCAAAATGTTAATGCTTTCTTCATTTATTGCATATTATGGTGTTTTCGTTATTGACTATCTTGATTTATTAAATAATACAGCATATGATTTCTCCGTCGATAAAGTCAATTTTTTTGTTGTTCGCATAGTTTATGAAGGCTCTCAAGGATTTCGTTGACTTTTTTTATCATAATTTTTCTCGTTTACCTATTTATTACAAATGCAGCGACATCAGCGAATGTTTTTGTATGCCTGGGACATCCGTAGAACGAGATCCTGAGTGTTTTGAAGAATACGCCGGTTCTCGCTTGTTTTCAATTTCATATTAAAATAGAAATTTAAGAAACGGAAGTCGCAGAATGTGACTATCCAGAAAACGTCCGAGAGTATTTATTCGGATGACGAATAGCTACGAGAACTTAAGATGGGTGATGTGATTTACAAATTGAAACTGTGTAGAAACAATAATATTTAGTTTTTCTAAAACAAGGAAAAAATTATAAATTCCTTTTCTTCCCCAATGGCGGACACTAGCCATTATAAGCGTTGGCCACTGCTAAGACCGAAATGGTAGCCACTTTATTATGGAGGCACCTTATAGGCGGGCTACCGTCGCTTTCTATTAAGGGGCGAATAAGTGACATTCAGGCCTTCTCCGGCATTCGAATTCGGGCCTTTCGGTACGGCAGTCAGATACACTAACCATTTTCCCGTCTGGGTGTCAATTATAAACTCCTTGTTTAGCATGTATGAGTTCTATTGACAATGATAAAGCACGAACAGCGACATGGACATAAGATGAGTCACATGAGCACAATATTCGTAAAAGAACTTCGGGAATTTACCTTCATTATTCCATTCCAGTTGTCTCCAGTTGCCACTCTGAAAAGGGTTAAAAATGCCATTCCAAAGTCTTTGAAATGGGCATGTTCTCCTAAACCTTCGCAAGGTAAGTCCTCTGTGCATTCTGAAATAAACGAAGAAATTGAGCATTAAACAATCTGAGGCAGATAACATTTATGCGTTTCAAAAGAAACGTTATATACATATAAGAAATACTCACTAATTGCTATGCGCATTGTATTTTGCAGTGAAATGTGTAAAATTATGCATCTTCTTATAGTTAATTTGATAACTCCTTTACTATGTTTAGTCGGGGGAATTATTTCATTTGGTGATGGAAAATTAGAGAAATTAGCATTTGAACTTCATAGGGGAACCCTGTTTGTAAGTATATATTGTAATCAACTACAATCATATATTCGTATTTGGACATTTAAATGATGCTATATTTTCTTGATATAAACATAAATCATAGCTTTAGTATCATAGCTTTAAGGGCTAAAAAGTTTAAATTTTATGTTGCCATTTGCTTTTAGAGTTTAGATTTTATATTTCTAGGTGCATGTGGAGTTTGGCTTTTAACCCTCTGAGCGGCCAGGGTTTTCGCTAAGAAAGCGCAAATTTCCCAAAACTACTATGAGAACAAATTATTTTTTTGATTTTAATGTAAAAATGTCTGGTATTCCTACCTAGATTTGTTTTCTTTTGATATATTGCCTTAATTCTTTGACATATTTTAATATGCACGTATATAGACGTTCTTACAGATATCACAACAAATATTCTAAGCCGTATTTATACGGCCTTGCCGCTTAGAGGATTTTAAACACCCAACTCCGATTTTATATTTGACGTGAGATGATTGTTAAAAGCTAAAATAACATAAAAAGCCCCTATTTATGAATGCGGATACAGTGTTGTTATAAATCCTTACCTAGTCTTCCAAACAGCTCAACTCCGAGTGCAGCAAAGATGAAAAACAGTAAGAAAAATAGAAGTCCCAAGTTTCCAACTTGAGGCAGAGCTTGCATTACAGTGTCTAACAATGCCCGAATACCTTTAGCCATCTTGAGTAATTTCAGAACTGAAAATAAAAGAGAAATTAATACAACATGAGCTAAACAAATTTTTAAGGAAAGATATATGTTACAACTTGATACTTCCAGCGAAGAAAACATGCTTTGTCATCATTTCGATTGCCATAAAATTTTTCTAATCGCAAGGAAAATATCTCTTAGAGATTACTTACTTATTTCAGTAAATAAAGAACGAAATAGAATAACATTCTTTTAAAACTTTTTATTGACTATTTTGAAAACAAGAAGAGTGTTGTAAGAGATAACAATGTATTTTATTTAGAGATGTCTAATTGGCAAAACTGTCATATGTATATTTCTGAAAGAAACATTTTGACGCATACTGCCCTATAACGGAAAAGGGCACATTTGGGATGTGGGTGTAAATATAACATTTAAATGTAAGATGAAGAATGTGAAATTAATTTTGAATATACGACCTATTAGTTGAATTATGTATTAATCTATTAAATATTTTTTTTTTCACATAAACAAATCTTTAAAACTTTTTCCTTAAAAAGTTTGAACATAAATCTATACTGCTTTATTTTGGACAACGGCCACGTGCTGTTGAGAATAGAAGGATCCATTTGCTATTAAAATCAATGGAACAGTTTTAGAAATCTATACATATTATGAATAAAAATTGCCTATGCTTATAATTTTGTTAGTCTATGCTTATAATTTATTTTTGTTTATTGAATTAAATACCGTACACGAAAAATATTTATATTATAGTTTATAGAATGCTATCTAATATTCTGGTCAAAATGCTAAACGTACAAATATCAATGACTTGAATCATTATTATTAGTATCAAAATTACAGCAACATTTCTACAAAATAGAGATAGCAGCAATTCCAATATTGGCACATGGCAATGATTTTTAAAATCCTACAGTCTAGCTGAGTTTGAACCCAATACCTCCTGGTCCACCTGATCAAGTTGCTATTATCAGAAGGTGCAATAGGTATTGAACAGTATTTACAGGTTACAGGTTTACTGGTTTTGTAGCTTCTTATAAGTGTTTTCAGAACCATAAGTTTGGTACTTCTATTATAATTCTGTCACTGAAATATTTTTACAGGCATGCCTACCTAACGTTATTTTACTCAAAGCAATTTCTTTGCTCTTAACAAATAACTAATAAAAAACTAAAATACAGTGGCGTAACAGCCCTAACGGGCCAATGCTTGCAGTGCCTTTAAATCTGCTTTCTTGACCGTGGGCCCCGGGGTGCGTAAGCATATGCCCTGAACAATTGATCAGCTTGTCAATGGACCCCCAGTGTTTAGTCCCCAAGCAAACTTGGTACTCATTTTACCGACCCAAAGGAGGGAAATCAAGGAATGAAAGGCTAAGTCGACCTCTCCCAGCCTGTGATCGACCCCCGGACCTGTGGTGCTGCTGCGCGATGCGCTAGCCACTGCGCCACAGGCCCCCTTAACAAGTAACTGCCCTATCTAAATGTAACATGACATTAACATGGAGAGCAATCAAACTCTTGACGAGAATAGCCACGAATGTACAGGGTTAATTAATCATGCAAAGGAAATAAGAGCAATATGTGAGTAGTATTGGCCCCACTGCGGCGGCGGAAGTGACGTCAGAGGTCACGTGACCGGAAGTGCCGCCATTTTGTTGAGTAGATTTGAGTTGTTTCGAAGTGAAAGTAGAAGTGTTTTTTTAAAGTGGAAGTAGAAGTGCATGGAGATTTTTAGGATTTAGGTATTTTGGATGGCAACGAGGATTTGGGGGGAAAGTTTCGTTTTGATTTTGTGGCAACGACGATTTTACCTTGAACCACGTGTTTGGGGAAATATCCCTTTTTAATTATTTAAATCTAACAATTGAATATTAATTTATTTTTAATCTAACGATTGAATATCTAACGATTTAATATCTATTTATTTTTAATCTAACAATTGAATATTAATTTATTTTTAATCTAACGATTGAATATTAATTTATTTTTAATCTAACGATTGAATATCTAACGATTGAATATTAATTTATTTTTAATGGTTTGATAATAGTTTAATTACCGTAATTGCTTAATTATAAAAATATGTTTTATCATTCTTCTATCTGCCGCCATTTTTTAATCACACGGTCTTTGTCCGCCATTTTGAATGATTCACTTCATCTGCCATTTTGTTTTCTCCTCGTATTCCGTATTGTACAGTAACTCATGCTTGATTTTATTTTTAATGGAAGAATTATTTTTCATTTACGTTTAAAGGGGGATAATTTTTAAAATCTATTTATTTCTTAAATATATGTTACTACTGGCTCCATCTAGTGTACAAAATGTTTAATAAAAGATAACATGATCTTAAAAAAAATGAAGAGGTAATAAATTTTTCTCAGATTCGAACTCGCTATCTTAAGGATTCATAAAAAAAAAAAAAAAAAAAAAAAAAAAAAAAAAAAGAGACTGAGGGGAACCGCATGAAAATTCCTTAAGCGATACCCCACAATCTCTTGGTTGAAAATTCTGTTAATTATGTCCATAAGGTTTTTACGTGTATCGCCATGATGATTTTCTGAATCCGCCATTTTGAAAAAAGCAGTGGAAAAGGAACACGACATCACACTGAAGAATGCAATTTTTAAGTTCTTTGTGACAGAATTCTTTCTTAGGGCTAACAATACATGCTGACCTTGGACATTTTGCTTTGACATAGTTTCGTCAAGGCCGTAAGCGACCAAGTTGAGGCTTGGAGAGATAGTTTTGTCCTTGTTGAAAAATATCGTTTTAAACTAACTGCTGGTGATTGGCAACAGTTGCAGTTCATTATTTAGGATCGAATAATGGCAACATGATATTTTGCATGTATAAATGCTAAGGCTCCCATAAACCTTAATAGAGGAACCTTAATAAATGCAGCAGCGACTGCAACAGCGTGTTCATAGATTTTGAGAGTACTTTTTTTGCGTGAGTAGGAAATTTTGTACCAATAATGGCTAAACGATCGTTTGATGAAGTAAGTGGAATTTTTTATGCACTTGTATTTTTAATTTATTAATCAATTTAATTCCTAATTAATAAACAGAGTAATTCCTTTTTTTTTGCGCAGTTTAAAAAAATCAAGATTCTATTGATTATGAAGATTACTTGAGCGATAGCGAGGTAAATTTAAAATAATATTTTATTTAAAAAAGTATTAAGTTAGAAATGCATATATGATGTTTTAAGTGAATACAATGATATTTCTGCATTTAGTTGTTGAGTGAAACGTCTCAGGAATTTATTGAAAATCCTCTTGATGGCATGGAAAACTGTTTGTCTGATTTAGAAAATGAGGTTAGTTTTATGATCATTAAAATGGTAGATAATGTACATTGTTTGGATAAAGATATTTTACAATCATGAGTATACTTTTTTTTTTTTTTTTTTTTTTTTTTTTGTAAGATACCATGCGTTTAACACGTGGTGTCCATACAAAAATCTGTTTAATTCATTTACGATACTGCGTGTTCAGCACGTGGGAGTCATTAGAAAATATGTTTAAGTTATTAATTTACGATATTATGTATTCAGCACGAATTAAAATTTGTTTAATTAATATATAATTTGAATTTAGAGCTAAATCTAGTCAAGGTTTTTTTCTTAAACCTTATTTATACCGTATGATGTGTTGTGGTTAATGAAAAGGAGATAATTTTTTCGTTTGATAATCTGGGATGCCTGTTTAACAATATGGTTAACAAATTTTTTTTTCATCATTTGCGTGCTTATTTTTTAGTTATGTAATAAGAAATGCCGGACTGATATGGATGTAGCAGGCCATCAGGCGTTAATGTTTTTTCATGGAAAAGAAGATGAAATGATTGATTCACGTTTTTCCGATGACGAAATAGTAAGTTTACTCTTTAAAGCAAGAAAGGATTTCGTTAATATCCTTAAATTAGTTCAAATAATTTTGTTAAAGATTTCGTAATGAGTTCTAAGAATCTACTTGCTGATATTTTTTTTTTTTTTTTTTTTTTTTTTTTTTTTTTTTTTTAGTTAGGTGAATCGACCCAGTTCTTTCTAGAAAATACATTAGCTCCCTATCCTAATCAAAGTGGATTGGGTTTGGAGGTAATTATCACCTTTTCTCAAGTAGTTTTTTTTTTCCTAAAATATATTATAGAGATTTTCGACACATGATACTTTTTTTTCAAACTTACTTTATTCAAATTAGGATATTTCAAATGATTTTGCTGTAGAAGATACACTAAATGCAGGAAATAATATGGCTGAAGATTCTTCAAGGAACGCTTCAGTAAGTCTGTTCTCACTAACTTTTCTTCTAGTATGTTTAATTTCCATCGCAAATAAAAAAACCAATGAAATGCTGCAGAAAATGCATACTGAATGTAAATTTTATCCTTAGTTAAACCTGCCGTATATTTTGACGGAAGCAAGAAGAAAAACGAGCTTTAATGCTACAGAGGTCACTTACCAAGCTAGGATAAATCATTCACAACTTCCAGAACCCTTAAACCACGGGTTGTTGAGAGAAGAAATGATTTTTTTGGAAGCTTTACTAAGCGCAGTAATACAAGAAGCGGCACAAAACTTAAATAATGATGATTTAATTAGGTAAATCAATTACTTATATCGCAATGAGAAATAAATTTGATCTTCTTTTTAGTATGTTTATTATTATTATTATTATTATTATTATTATTATTTGGTAGAATTTGCATGCACAGCGATTATTTGGACCGACCCATTTCAACATGCTTGGTTCCCGTCAGAGACTTGACAGTTGAATTAATTTTATCCTCCATAATGAAAGTGTTACAGGTAAAAATTTACCTTAACTAAATAATTATATTCTTTATTAAATTAGTTACTTTAGTAAATACTAATATTGCTTTATTTTTGCACTGAAGGATCTAAGAAATTATTATTTTTTTAGATTAAGATTTATTTTATTATTTGCATACTAACTTTTCAGAGTAAAGACCATATACCTATAGATGATCCATCTTTAAAATTTGATGTAATTACGATAAGAAATCCTAGAGGTGGTGCCCATCATAAGCTGGTTAATGTTAATACTGATGGATTAAAGAAAATCAGTATAATATCTATACCTTCAACAGATGAGAACTTGTGTTGCGCGAGAGCAATAATTGTTGGTAAAGCAAAATTAGAAAATCATCCCCAGTTTAAATCGATTCGGGATGGCCGAAGAGCCTTACAACGAAATATGGCACTGAAACTACATGCTGAGTGTGGAGTAAATTTAGGACCATGTGGTTTCGAAGAAATTAGGAAATTTGAAGATTATCTTGACATACAAGTACATGTGGTTTCTGCAGATGAGTTTAACAAGGTAAGTGTTCGTTTATGTTAATTAATCTGCCATTCATTTTCATTAATTAAATTTCGATATTCTAATGAACTCTAATGAATCTTACCTACACGAATTTTTTTTTTTTTTTATTTTTTTTAGGTTATCTATCGAGGGCCATTGCGTTCTGCAAAAATATTTTTGTATTTGCATGACGGACATTTCGATTTGATAACCTCAATGAAGGCTTTCCATGGTAGAAAATTCTACTGTGAGATATGCGATAAAGCATACGATCACGTTCAAAGGCATAAGTGCGTATGGTATTGTAACGTTTGTTTCAGTAGAGAATGTGAGAGTACTATTCAAGAAAGACTTTGTAATGAGTGCAATCGGATTTGTCGCTCTGAGGAATGTTTTATCAGGCATAAAAAACAGTAATGATAACGGAGAAAGTTTCTGTAGTAAATTTTATGAATGCAAATCTTGCTATAAGTTTCTAGTTACAAAAGAGAGAGACCTATCAATCTACATAAATGCTTCGAACAATATTGTACCATTTGCAAAAATTACTTTTCAGATGAACATCAATGTTTTCTTCGTAATATTCCTGAAGGAAAGCATAGCAATAATTATATTTTTTTCGATTTTGAGACGCAGCAAAATACAGGGGAACACCAAGTAAATTTTGCAGTTGCCCAGTACACAGATGGACAGGAATTCATTTTCACAGGCAACAACGCCCTCGAAAAATTTTGTACATTTTTGTTTAAGAAAGAACATAAATCATTCACAGCGATAGCCCATAATTTGAAAGGTTTCGATGGACAGTTTATATTAGGATACTTGCTGAAAAATGGTCATCAACCAAAAATTGTACCAAACGGGTCCAAATTAATGAAAATCTGCCTGCCATCATTAGATATACGTTTAATAGATAGTTTCAACTTTTTACCTCTACCCTTAAGCAAATTTCCGAAAACATTTGGTTTTGAGGAACTCACCAAAGGTTACTTTCCACATCTATTCAATATTCCTGAAAACGAATTTTATAGAGGTCCATTACCTGATGCCAAGTATTATAGCCCGGATACAATGACTGTTGAAGGCCGGCGGGAATTTCTGTCGTGGTACAAAAGCAGGAAAGAATACTTTTTCGACTTTCGGGAAGAAATTTACAAGTATTGCAAGTAAGTAAACTTTACAGTGTATAATATTTTTATTTTTATTTTATTTATTTACTTATTTTTAGACTTCTTTATCTATTTCTACATTTTTAGAATATTCTTTTTTATAGATCTGATGTAGACATTTTGAGACGGTGTTGTCTCAGTTTTAGAGAGGAATTTATTTCTGCAACGAAGATCGATCCCTTTCAGTACACTACAATAGCTTCAGCTTGTATGGCTACTTACAGATCACAATATATACCTCCACAGACAATTGGACTGGTGCCAGTTCATGGTTATGTAAATCGTACAAATCACAGCATATCAGGAATTCAGTGGATAGATTTTATTGCTTTAAAGGAAAAAATTCAGATCAGACATGCTCGAAATGGTTTTGGCGAGCAAAAGATTGCAAACATTTCTGTGGACGGCTTCTGTGAAACCAATAATACTGTCTATCAGTTTTACGGTAAATATCTTTAAAATGCTTTTCATTTTTTCAGTTATTTTCTAATTTTTAAGATACCTCGATTTAGACTGTAAAAAACTGATTTTATTTTAAGGATGTTATTGGCATGGATGTAAAAGCTGTTATCCTCAGCAAGATGCCAGAAATGCTGTAAAGGGGTGTTTCATGTGGGAACTTTCTGTCAGCACAAAGAGAACATCGAAAATCATTCAACGCATGGGATATAACTTGGTAACCATTTGGGAGCATGAATTTAATACCATGAAGAAAAATGATGAGGAGCTGAGGAATTTTTTGAAAGATCATAGTTTAGTAGAGAGGTTAAATCCAAGAGACTCATTTTTCGGAGGGAGAACGAATGCTGTAAAGCTAATGCACGAAGGAAAAATTAAGTACATAGACTTCACAAGTTTATATCCGTGGGTTAACAAGTGTTGCAGGTATCTGTTTTTTTTTCCTTTAATTGTTAGAGCGATTCATGTAATTAAAACATTGATTTATTATAAAAGATGTGATTATGAATGCATGTATATATATGTACATAGTGTATTTATTAATCCTCAGGTATCCAATTAAACATCCTGATATCATAACGGAAAATTTTCAAGATGTATCAGAATATTTTGGTATAGTAAAATGCACAGTACAGCCTCCCAAAAAATTATATTTTCCTGTTTTACCTTATCGGTATGTATTGATCATTATCCTGCCTTTAATCAGAATTTCAAAACTGTGTCCTTGTACGTGTGTTATAACAAATTTACGTTTTTTTAAATTTAATTTACCTCTTTTATAGTGCCCGAAATAAACTGATGTTTCCGCTTTGTAAGTCTTGTGCAGAATCTTTGCAGCAAGAAAAGTGCATGCATACAGATGAAGAAAGAATGCTGACAGGAACATGGGTTTCCCTTGAAGTTCAGAAAGCCGTGGAAAAGGGATATAAAATTATTAAAATACATGAGGTGTGTATATGGGGGTTTTGTTTTGCTGACTTGTTGAGAGAATGTTTTTTGACTGGGTTGTTTACAATTTTTTTTTTTTTTTTTTTTTTTTTTTTTTTTTTTTACTAACAGGTTTATCATTTTAAAGAGAGTATGACTGGATTATTTGCTCCGTATATTGACAGTTTTATGAAATTAAAACAAGAGTCAAGTGGTTGGCCAAAAGACTGTATAACTTCTGATGCTAAAAAGAGATATATTTCTCAATACTTGGAACATGAAGGTATTTTGCTGGATGAAAATTCTATTAGCTATAATCCAGGGCGACGACAAGTAGCAAAACTTTGTTTAAACAGGTAAAGCAAAAAAAAGTACAAAGAATTTTTGTTGTTGTTCCTGTTGCTACATAAACTAGATGTTTATAAAATGTTTTTTAAATTTTAACAATTTATTTTAAGCTTCTGGGGAAGATGGGGTATGATGGAAAATAAAACTCAAATACGTTACGTGACAGATCTGGCAGATTTTAACAAACTCTTAACGGATAGTACTATAGAGGTAAATTTTATTGAATTATATTATACTTTTAGTTTTTGAAAATGCATGATATTAAAAGGATAAAATATGCTATTCAATCTATGTTTTAGGTTAAGGATGTATATTTACCGACGGAAAAAGTGGCAGCAGTTCAGTATGCTTACAAATCTGAATTTGCTCCTCAGACGGATAAAACAAATATATTTATAGCTACATTGACTACAGCCCATGCACGTTTGAAGCTTTACTCAGAATTAGAAAAATTAGACAAAAATGTCTTGTACTTCGATACAGACAGGTATAATATTAGAGTTAAAATCCCTATTTCCTGTATTATTATTATTGTTGTTATGCAAATATTTGTTTATATAGGATAAAAAAAACGCTTATACTTTTTTTTTATATTCCTTTAAGTATTATTTATGAATCCAATGGCAAGAATGACCCACCTTTAGGTCCTTATTTGGGAGATTTTACTGATGAATTAGACGGCAAATATATAACGTCTTTCATTTCTGGTTAGTATAAGTTCACTCTGGTTAAAGCTAAATTATCAATGTATACATTCGAGAAAATTGTAATGCATGCAACATTATTTTATTCACGGCTCTTACGGTTTTTCAGGTGGTGCAAAAAATTATTATGCTTATACATCTTCAGATGGTTTAACAGCTTGTAAAATTAGAGGATTTACTTTAAACTACAAAGCTTCAAGCAAATTGAATTACGAAGCGATGAAGGCTTTAATTTTGAACAAAGACTTCGATACATCCATCAAAGTTGAAACGACAAATAAAATATGCCGAAATGCTAAGACAAGGAAGGTCTATAACAAGAAAGAAGAAAAAAAATATCGTTTAGTATACGATAAAAGGGTGATATTACCAGATTTTACGACGCTACCGTTCGGCTACTGATGATTCTATCCAGTGAAGCATTCAAAAGTTAAATTTTATCGATGATGATATTTTACATTTACTTTGGGTAATGTAGTATTCTGAGATAAAATATAAATATATATAAAGTATTTTACAGGTAAGGAAAATTCGACAACTTATAGTTAAATGAACATTTTTATTTAGTACTTTATCCATGGCTGTTTTCTTGCGTACATGCTTTGTTTGATTCTAGAAACAATTAAGGATTTCTTTTCTCTTAACAATTTTTCGTTATGCCCGAATGCATCAGGCATTTCCTTCAAAACAGATCGAAATAAATTTCGTCCTATAGGCCCTTTTTTCCTATTCCGCAATAAATCGTTAATTAAATGAACAATATTGGATCTAGGAATTGTTTCCCCTTTATACAGAATTTCACCTTTAGAAGTCCACGACAAAATATTTTGTTTATTTTTTAAAAAAGGAGTAAATGTCCTTGGCTATATGCTTCTTTTTCACTGGAACAACAGCTAGGATATTCTTTTCGATGACGTCTTCTTCTTTTTCTTTCTCTGCTTCGGTTTCAGGCTTAACAGAATTATCTGCTTCAATCATGTTTTCTGACTCTGGCATTGCCTTCACAGAAACATCTTTCTCCGGGTGAGGAACATGAACAAATTTTTGAAGTGCTTGTGAATATAACATTGCTTTATCACTTTCGTTCAAATTCTTATTTCTTAATATAGAGTACATTTGTTTATCTATTTCTGATAAATACTCTTCTGTCATGTTTTCTAACCGATCTTCCGGTATAAGGCGATATTTTTTACTGTACTCCATTAATAATAGAACTGATCACAGATATAGCTGCAGGTAAGAGAAAACTCAGAAAACCATCACCTCGTTGAACGAGCAATTCTCGTTTTTTGTACAAAGGTATTTTACGGTTCGCTAACTTACGTATACTTCTCTTAAAAGGAGTGAGTTTATTTTTCAGAGTTTTAGATACTGGTATATTACCCCGAATTAAATTGAGTGCACACTCACACAAAGATTTGATGATACTATTTGGAACTTTTTGAAGTAGAAATCTTTTTGATTTACTCTTTGCTAATGTTTTCAGTTGCTTTATTAAATGCTGCTCGCATTCTGACATTTTTAGTATTCAATGAAGCTACGAAATGAATTCTGTAGTATTTATAGGATTCCAAATCCAATATTTTATCCTTTACTTCTTTTCATATAAACGTGGAATAATAAGCGGATTTTTCATTTTATAATAAAGTAAGAAAAAAGATAATGCATTCTAAAATTTGAGTTTTGTATCAGATTTCCGCTAAGCGTCTTCTTATCGCGGTAAATAGACGTAATGTTTGTCTTCCGGAAATATTCCTGTTCGTAAACGTAAACTCTCTTCTGTGTCAGGTTTCAAATCAATCAACAGATAGCTGTAAGGTTTAAAAGTTGCATCCTGAAACACTTCTTGAAAAAATTTATTTCTTGTTGGGTAAAGTTGTCTACCCAAGTGCATGATCTGAGACTTATCTCGCGGATTTTTAAATAAGACCATATAATGGCAATTAAGAGAAATTTCTCTCATTTCTTTACCTTTGTGAAATAAGTTTTGAACGATGAAAATGATGCTTAAATTTTTATGGTGGCTTCCTTTGGTAAATAGTTTTGTTAATTTTGATTCATTGCCCAGTTCGGACATTAAATCATCGATCACGATTAAAGCATTTGTAATGTTATTCATAATGAGAAGGAAATCCTTCGTGAAACTGTACGTCGCGCATTTGGGTATACAATGGCTGATATGCTCCGTAGCACCACACTGTTTTAGTAGGAACAGGATCTATGCTTTTATGTTCAATCATTTTTTTAACAAATATTGTTTTTCCTGAAGATGTAGGACCTGCCACTATCATTGTAAAAGGATGTTTTAACTTAGGAAACTCCATCGTAAGTGAACTTTTCTGTATTTAAGTTAAATATTTATAGTTCTTCCGTACCCCCTCCCTCCCTCAAAAATTACATAGTTTAAAAAATGACCTAGATTAAAAAAAGAAGCATAATAAATTATTATTATTTGTTAATAACAAAATGAGTGGAAAAAAATGCACACACAGTATTTCCAAATCAAAATCTAACCTTTATTTTTTAAATGTCATTCTAAGACCATATTTCTTTTTAACAAATTGGTATATTCTAAAATCATTGCTTTTACACAAAGAAAGATTATATAAAATATCATACATAGATTTGCCCTGGCATCTTTTTAATAAAAAATAAATGCAGTATTGTCCACATACATTAGATGTTAAACTTTGAAATCGAATTTTATTATAATGAGTTACACGAAAATGTGACACAAAATTCTCGATGTTTTTTCCATAAAACTCCGGAGGCTCTCCGTAAGAATCGAAAAATTCCAAGGCTTTATCTTCTATAAACAGGGCAAGCCAATGCGTTCCATTTTCTGTAGAGGGTGATACATTTATTACCATAGCAGATCGTTTTCCAGGCATAGGTATCATGTCAGAAGGAAATACTCCTTGGAAGTACGGAGCAGTGTCCATGTCTTGAGACAATATGTGATGATGAAGCTGAAGGGCGTACATCTTAATTTGCAAAGTCGTAAATAACAGTTCTGGATTTATTAATCTCGATTATATTTTCAAACTCGCTGTACACTATAACAGATATTGTTTGTGATAGTGGTGCTCTAAATTTCATTTCTAGACGTAAATTGCTGTGTTTTATTAGATTCATGTGCTCTCCATCACATAAGTCAGGCGACAAATCAAAGGCATATAATGTATAACCTAAGGGATAATCGTCTCTCGATATAAAAATACCATGATCTTGACTCACTTTCTCTCTTCCGAGAAATAAGCTTTGGTAAGCTCGAATATAATTATTTTCATCAAAATTCGGCTCGAGAGGATTGTAAGGCACAGGCTGACCGTCCACATAGGCTCCGATAAAATTTAAGTGATAATGATTAAACTCGAAAGGTGATTTCTTATAAGTTCCGTGAAAAGCATCATTATCTACGCATCCAACAATCACCCGTTTTGGCATCTGCCCGACGAAGACGTTATCTTGTACGATAGACATGCTGCCTTGCGGTACAGAATATACTTTGCACA